AGTGGGGTATAAGTAACTGTAGTATTTGAATTTGAACAGTTTTTAGATGCACTGTCTTAGTTCAAAAACGCATTATCTTTCCATTGAAGATGAATACCACTTTGCTATTTTTATACATGTTGTTTGAAAATATTAGAAAATAGTTCAATTAATCATTTTTCATAAATGTTGTAATATCAAGTTTACAAAACTTTTAAATAGTGATGATGAAACTACAGTTATAGAAATCTTGTGAAATTTATTCACATGAAAGTTTTTGCTTTGATTATTTATGTAAATCATAGGTCACTGTAAGTTTGTATATGGAACTGAATGTGTAAACTCCACAAAGTATGTTATAAATGAAAATTATGTACACTGTTTGCATGTTAAATCACATGACAAATGCATGCTTTATGTATATGTTAAGTGTATAACAAAAATAAATTGTAAATATGTATCAATAAAATTGTCTGTCTGTCCGCCTTTTATCTATATATCATTATAATTATTCTCGCTTGCATATTTATTACCCTAGGAACATAAAAGAGCCCGATGTTTGGTGATACATGTAGTCCAGGTGTTCGCTTCTGTCATATGACGGACATAGGACGCTGTAAAATACACTTTATATCTTGATGATTACCGCACTTACATATTTCTGTCAAGCCTTCTTGATGTAAGGCCAAGCTTAATTATTAAGAGTTGGCTGTGTCAAATGAGCGTAGGTGTATAGGGTAAATACAATAAGCAAGCAAATATATATCGAGCTCATTTTGATATTTTAATCTATATTTTATATTTATAAAAATGTCCGTCAAAACTGTTTGCATTTTGTTGTTATTTTCTTTTACAGCAAACCGGTCTTACAGGTTTTTGTTGCGTATGCCATTTCATCATTATTTCTGACATGACAAGATAATTAATAGATTACCTTAATTAAGCCAGCACCATCACATTCAAATTTTCGCGGAATTCGAAGGATAAATGGTTCTGAAGTATTTCATATAAGAACATATTATGATCCATTCTGAACACCGATTAAGTGTTATATTTTCACTCCTAGCTACACCACTGATGAAAATATATCACCAGATAAACAAATAACTAGCATAATATAATAAATGGCGGAGGTCTTTATTTAGAGTGCTAAAAGTGATACTTTTATCACCTTATGTAAATTCCAAACGCGTCTAATGTTTATATTTGACCTAGATCTTTATGTTTATTTATGATGATATTTGACCTGTAATATTATTATTTGGACGAGAGACAAGGTATCATTTAGATAATTGAATCAAGTTGAAAACTATTCATATTGTAGATCTAATTAAGCAAAGAACGGAAAGCTTCCGCTGTTAAAAAAACACTCGAACATGTAATGATATATGCGACATATTAATTGTGGTGGCTGATTGACGCTATGTCGCATTTTCGTCACAAAATCCGAGAATGCGCATCAAAGTGCACATTCAAGAACGTCTCCAGAAGATTTTGAGAGAGCATAACCAAATCTCAAATCCGATTTATTGTTGCGCAGTTAAAATAGTTCTAGTACCTTACTAAAATGTTATTTTTTCGTAGACTAATGTAACGTCTGCTCCAGGTGTACCGTAAATAGGATGCTTGTTGAGTAGAACCACAGAAGTCATCCTTCAAGTTGTAAGCTTAGAGTATAAGTGTTTATTTTATTATGGAATTTGAATAAAAATTCTCGAGTTGCCTTTATAATAATAATAATAATAATATCTTTATTTAAAGAAGGTTACACATTAAGAACATACAATAACAATCATATATATCTTATTTCCAATGTGGCCTTCTGAAATAGAAAACAACAACAACAACAACAACAGGACATGCATAGGTAGAAAAATGAATGTATAATATGTAATTTTTAGAATAATACAACTCATTTACTTTCGACAGACACTCAACAATTTGTTTAAACATATACGTATATTGCATCATTCGTTCGTTCGTTCATTCGTTCGTTCATATATTTATTCATTCATTCACACACTCATTCATTCATATGAACATCAAGATATGCTTTGTATTTTTCTTTAAAACATTTAAGGTTATTAATAGAACTTTTAGTGCTTTGATTATCATTTTCCAACATTTTTAATTAAAGTACCTAATACAAAGAGGCAAAGCTTTTTTGAAATTAAAATTTGACAGTGTAAAATGTTTGCATATTCTTTTTAATCTGATAGAGATAAAGACTTTGACAGACTATCTAAAATAAAATCAAATAGGTTTTTGTAATAAAGAATAACTTCTTTACAAAACAAACTTTGAATTTTTCAAAATGATTATTTCCACTCTTTTCAATTAAAGCCGTGACTCCATATATCAAGACACGTACATAAATGTAATATTTCTCTTCTTTAAGGTTACGTTGTAAAACTACTTTCACCGTTTTAGCTCCGAGATGATTAAGAAGAATTGGCAGCTCTCCCCCCCCCCCCTCGGTTCGTGCACGTCGTTGAGAAAGCACGGGTATCAGCAGATGATCGAAGATCCTATACAACGTGTAAAACGGCATTTTTTCTACACATGAAGTTAGTTGCTGAAGTCCTGACTTAAGCCAAGGGGAGTGGTTCTACGAAGTAGGCAGGGACGACGAGGAAAGTGTGCTAGGGTGCGTAAGACCCTAACAGAGAGTGGCGGCTTTTAAGACTGGCATAACAGCCCTTTTCAGAGCTACCTCCTGTTAATGTTGTCTCAGGTTACTGTACATTCAGGTTCTCATTGGCAACTTTTGGCTCAAAATTCTTATCTTTGGCTAATACTCCGGGGAAATTGCATGAAGGTAAATCATCACCACTTTAAATTGTGCAAAATCATCCTTTTAGGGTCCGTACTCGACACCGAAAGCTACATTTAATGTCGGAAAGGACGGGTGGACCTTCATTAAGCATAGATTACTTCCCACCACAACCCAAATAATCGGCGAGGTGTTCCAAATGGCACGACCACACTATCTCTCCAAGTGACATTGACGACTCTTGTTGCGATATCGTAGTCTCCTTCCGCCACTCCCGTCATCAAAATATCCTTTACAATCTTATCTCGACAAGCTTTTCCCGTTATGTATTCAAACCTTTTATAAATCACACATTTATTTAAAACTTTCATTCTTAAATATATATAATTGGTTTTAAGTTTACTATCCCACGTTCACAAGGTCTCCGGAGTGATATTTGTTCAAAGAGCTCATTCATATTTTCAATTAGTAATCTACAGGAGGACTTGTATTGACATTTTGGTTGAATTGACGCTGACCTCATTCATAAGAAAACTTTATTTTATTGTTTGAACTACATCAATCGATAATGTCTGACTTTACCAGGTATAAAGTTTATTCATGAAGGGTTTTTTTTTGGATATATTAATATTTATTCTTCGACTCATTCATGTATTCAGTCAGGTATTGTAGCTTACTCATTTGTGTTTAAATAAGATCTTAAAACCACACAGTTTAAGGTGCACTGAAAAAAAGAAGTAGATAGCAAATAATCTAACACAAAAAACGATGATAAACTGTATTTTTCAGGCGCCCAATGTCCATGTTTGTTTGCCAAGATAGGCAGACCCCTCGTTTTTTTTTTAAATGTACGTCTAACGTATTACATAATTTTATGTTTTATAGTGTCTTGTCTCTGTGAATGTGTAGAAGCCACACGCTTGAGAAGCGACCCGTGGTCTTCTTTGAGCGCAATGTTCTCGGTCCTGTTATGGTGCTAAACAAATGCTCGTCGTTTGAGCTTGCTAGATTCAAGTGTAGGTACCTGTTTACACTTGGGCAAAACTCTCTTGTGAAGCTATGCACCTGGGACTTTGCAAGTGGATTTTTTTCAGTTTTGTTAGAGTTATTGCACTTGACTTACAGTAGTATAAAATTGCAATTTTCAACTTGTTCATGCATAGCTCAAAACGTTTTTCACTCGTAGGCCTGAAACAAGAATGTTGGTCAGCATGTGTACTTATGCACCTTGGCGTTTGCTTGTGGATTTATTCAGTATTTGTAAAGTTCTTGCCCTTTACTTAGTAAAAGATTTTTAGTTTTCAAAAAATATTTGACCTAGAGTCATAAGATTGACAGAACAGTGGCGCGGTGGGGGCACCCGTGTCCTATGGACACATTTCTAGTTTTATTTCTAAACACAAGGGACCAAATGATTATTCGGTTCATTTTTCAGGCATGCTTGAATTTATGATATAATTATAGAAATATGCGTTGGTCCCTCGATAATAATCATGTATCTTGAGAATGAAATTGAGTTGTTAAGTGTAAACGCGATTTAACTTGGTCGATTGCATAACGCAAAAATGTTAAGCTAACCTTTTCCTTTAAATCTTTTTGTCGTCTGCTATGATAATTAAAACATATCAATAAGGTTTTGAGTCATACGTTCGGAGTTTTTGTTAAAGAAATTTCTATTTGATAATTGGACAGTCGAACGGTTGAGAAATTTATATTATGAAGATATTTAAACACAGAGCAAAGAAGGGTTAAGTATCTGGCACTCAAAGAACTGACGGACAGTTTCACGTGATTCCATAGCACCGGAGTGTGAAGACGACAGATTAGGTGTGGTTCGATACTGCAATTATGAAAATTCATTTTCGAATTCAAAATATCTAAATCATACTTTTTCTTTAATAAATCACCTTATCGTTCAAATGACACCTAATTACAAAAACGTTCCGTCTATATGTCATTAACTCTATCAAACATAGGCCGTCTGAGACTGAAAGTTTGTGTAATTGCCACTATAAATGAGCTCAGGGGACCACCGAATTCGAGATTTTATGTTCGGATTACCCGAATACTTTGTGACCTACGTGTGCTTCAGACTGGAACCTTTGTATAATATCTAAGAATCATTTCTGTGAAGTCTTGTCAAAATCTATCATGCGGTTGAGAATGAGAAATGGTGAGTAACAACACAAACAGCTTACCATCACAAAAGCTCGCCTCTGGGAACTAAAAAGAAACAAGCAACATACGCTTAACGTAATTTAATCACTTTATTCTGTTTTGGACATTTTTGTCTGAATAAAATGAAAAAAGTTAAAATCATAATGCTTTAACAAATTAGAATCTTCATAATTTGAAAAATGCGCGCTATTTTCGCACATCTTACGTCTAATTTTAGACGGTTAAAATGAATATTCAAAGACTTTTCTAGATCAACAACTCAACTTACTCTCTCACACTACTCCCTCTCCACTTTCTTTTTTATTCTTATATGAACCTTTCTTTAATAACAAAACATTTCAAAAATAAATTATTAATTTAATTTGATAAGATTTTTTGACAACCCCATTACTGACATTAAATAGAAAGAGCAAAATAAATTAACAATAAGACAACTGTATCTGTCAGAATCATAAACAACTATATCTGGTAAAATATATATCTCGTTAAACCAAATCTTCAAAATGTTTTTTTCCCAGCCGTATGGTGACTGTTTTAGCTTGATTTCTTGTGAAATACACACAGATAGAAAGTGAATTTCATTGATCATTTAAACCCTTTTTCCTCACAAGGTGCCAAGACATCTTTAACAACTATTACCACATGCATATTCCATAAATGACATGGCCAGGAACTGATATGTACCGGTTTGTAAAATACCTGCTCATGGTGGTTATCGGGTAACATTCAGATAACCAATTTAACCATTCAAGCGGCAAAAGTTTACAGCTGTACAAGTGTTTCTGCGCAGTTAGATATAGAGGGAATTTATCCCTCTGATTTGATTCAACAACAAATAATAATTGAAGATATTGAAATGAGTTCAGGGGGTAATATAGAACCGCCTGTTATCAGCGATATAGCTGAAGATGATGATCCAAACCACCGGGGTATATATGGAATTTCTGCCACTCATGTACACAAGATTACAGTCAATTTCCAAACCAATACATTTTTTATAAATTATAACTTGTATTTTAAAATCTAGAGACTTTTATTATCTTAAATTAAATCTCCATATCAGCATGTCACTGTTATTGAGACATACAATTGGATGGTGACCCAGGTGTTATGGCGAAAATTTGTCATTTACTATATAATTGAATAGATGAAGAAATAAATATTCACAAGAACAATAAATGTCATAAAAAATCATTATCCTTTCGTATGGTAAGCTAAAATACACCTTGTGTAAGTAATCTGCAGTAACTTCGAAAATACAAAAATGTGTTTCAACCTTAAAGGCATTATTGGTCGTGTATAAATAAATAACAACCTTTTCTGACGTAGAATTAACGCAAATCTGACTAAAATGTGATGCAAATGATTTAAACTAGATTTATCAAGGTAGAGTATCTTTAATAACATATCGTGTTTATAACTAACCAACGCTATAATCTACGTAAAAGTCCAGGGTGAAACAATTTACATTCAAGTCACTCGTATTAATTCAATATGATTGCATAAATATTTCATTAGAAGGTAGTTCATTGTAATGAACTACAGGGACTTTCCTCAGTTAATTTGAAAAGACCATGCGACTGTGATAAAACACACTGTATAAAAATATCTTATCTCACAAACACTTTATAAATAAACAAAGAGCTTTATATCGCCTCATATAAACGCCTTATACATGTTTGAGTGTTGTTTTTTTAAATAAATTTTGTACAAAAGTCAGTCATTAAGAAGGGTATAAATCTGTTTCTGAGGAAACATCTTTACGTTGTTTCCATGACCTTATGGTCGGTTATTGAAAAAAAAGAATGTCTGATATTTAACATACATGTATATTCTACCAAAACTGAATAAAATGTTTCGAAAAAAATATTATGCTGCAATTTTAAGTAGCGGTTTAATCGCTTGACAATGTGTTTTGTGCATGCGTCAACCGCACTTAAGAAATTATACAAACACATTTCTTTCATACAGGTATTTCTGAATTATTCTTTTTCAAAATTCAAACAATTATTTTGTAAATTATAACCGGCAGATCAGTAGCTTTATACATTTTAATAATCACAGGTGTTATTTTAGCCAATATTTCCCTGATCACAAGATATACCATAGTCTTGTTTGTCATCTATATTGGAAACATTTTCTTATTTGTTGTTGTTAGTGTTGTGTTTGTGTACAAACGGTGTTAAATTCTTGTCGTAAACTATAGTTTACAGAATCAACAGTGTCGATTAGTGTATAAGTGAAACACTTCAGCCTTCTATACAAGGATATGTCAACAAGTGTTAGCTGATATACATTATTCCCAGCCACCATTAAACACAATGTTGTGTTTGTCCGTTCTACCACCATTATATTATTGAAATCTTACGAAAATAAAAACACACATTTTATTTCAATTTTGTGCAATAAACTATGCATCTAAACATCTAAAGGATTTAGAGGACAGTCAATGGTGCATGCAAAATAAAATTTAAAAATATATGCAATTGCAGTATCTAAAACGAAAAAGCACCAAGTTAAACGGAAAAAAATCTAATAAAAGTACAAAAGCATTAAACTAAACAAAACAGGGAATAGTCTAAATTGTTCAGATAAAACTGTAGACAAAGAACTGAATACAGAATGATTCATACATATAACGGATAGGATCACATATAAAAAAGGCAACATTCTCCCAGATTTCTAAGCTTTCTTTAGCAACCCCTCACACATACACACCATAAACCAAACTCTCTACACATAGAACACATTTCACACAATTACATTCGTTTTTTTTGTCACTCGATTAACAAATAATTAACTAATTTCCACTCTCACATTTGATCATATTAACATTTGAAAGACATTGTAATAAATTACATCAGAGAAGGTGCGACTCATTTATACAAGATAAAGACTCATAGTTATGAACAATTTTGTAAGTTATTGCTTATTCCCGGTGTAATGTTCAACACAACCATCCACACCCAAAGCTCGGCGCGTATCTAGAAGCATAAGCTCAGCTGGCGTTTCAATGTCGCACAACACAGATGGTTATAAAAAACAGCAAAATCGTTTCCATCCAACTCTTTTCACACTACAATCCGAAAGAGGTCTTAATGGAAGCACAGGTTGAGCAAGTCTTTCACTCCTTTTCTTATCTTTTTTAGACTTTCTGAAACTTTTGTTTCTTTTTATTGACTTTGGTTTCTTTAACATGTCCAGTGATGATAATATTGCTAAGTCAAACACTTCTTTCAAGTTTTTCTGGGTCAGTGCTGAGCACTCGACATAGTCTATTGCTCCAATTTCCTCCGCCAGTTTCTTTGCCTCAGTCTCAGATACTGGTTTCTCATTATAGTGTGCAAGCTCTATTAAAACTTTTACATCATTTCTTAAGTCACATTGCGTTCCCACGAGTATGATGGGAGTATCGGGACAATGTCTTTTGATTTCGGGGGCCCATTTGTCAATCACGTTGTGGAAAGAGGTCGGACACATCACGCTAAAACACAGCATGAACACATTTGTCTCTGGATAGCACAGCGGCCGTAAAGTGTCAAAATCATCCTGAATAAAATGAAAAGGAAAATATAGCTAAATGCAATGCACGATGAAACAATATAAAACTTGTCATAATTAAAGTGTTATAAGCACCTATATGTAAAGCATATAAACTGTAGATAATCAGTGCGTGTATACAGAGAATACCGGTATGACCTTTGCAACAAACGGTTATCCTCATTATCTAAGGGATTAAAACTGTCAGCTTTCACAAGATGTCCACTCCAAAGCACAGAAGACACTGAATGTTTCCTTGGCGAAAACCTGCGGTCCTACAATTAAATCCTCTGTCAATCAGAAAGAGAGAGAGAGTGAGGGGGGGGAGGGGGTACCTATTAGGCCAAGGTGATGTATTAAATAAATTCGGTCAAAGAAATGCTGTAAATTAACAAGGTGTCCCAATTTTGCTTCAAAAGATTTTCGCCCAATAACCCTATCGTCAATTATACGTACACTACTTTTACCGTTTTAACCTGAATACAGAGTTAAGGAGTTTTTATAGAGCAGCCTCAACCCTTCTTCTCATTTGAGATGCACTTTAAAACTATTGTCCTCCTGCTCAGCCAAATATGGAGAGCATAGAATTTATCATTAAGGGGTCGCTTGTGAGCCGAGATGATATTTCTCTGATTCTAATGGTGTACGTAGAATAAGTAGTTGGTAACTTATGAAGAAATTGGTAGATAGTGGCCAGCTATCCAGGAGAGGCAGTTAGGTGGTCCGACCGCCGAGACACAAATGTGTTAAATCAGCATAAAACCAAACATCCAAACAAATAAGAGGCTATTAAGACTTGACTAGCGGAGATGATTTACTATTAATTATGATTCAACTTAAATTTCAAAATGTACACTCAACCAATAGTGTAATCAATTTCAATGTGTCGTTGCCATATAAGGCAACTTTAAGTCATGTTTAAAATAAACGTTCCGTTTTAGAACAAACAAACTATATTTGTATTGTAAAATTGCGTGACAGTAGCAATAAACTATGTACTTCATAAAGATTATATATTACTAACTGTATAAATAATGTTGAAATTTTTATAGTTATATAAGGTAACAAGCGGCCATCCCATAAATCATAGCTGTATACACTTTGTACTCTACCTTTATATCAACTACATTTAAAACGTAAATCTTGATGTTATTTTATCGTCTGTATTTATTAGGAGCGTCTGTCGTGTATAACTAAAATAATTCGTTTATTAAACATTAAACCAATTAGTTGAAAAACAGATGTTTTAGTAAATACTTGTTTGTTATATTTTGTACTGATTTCGTTGATTTTAGGGATGTTATTGCTTATTTCTTCTTTAAGTGTTATTGAAGTTATCATTTTGATAAATATTCATTTTTTCTTTGATAGCCATATGAAAATAAGATGTATTTTAGTTTTCATTCAATAATTGTACTCCTTTATGTTACCTTGAACCAATTAGCTTTTCATTCATTCATTCATTCAATCAATCAATCAATCAATCAATCAATCAATCAATCAATCATTCATTCATTCATTCATTCGTTCATTAGATTAACACTTGTATTCGGTACATCTGTAGAACTTATACTTTACGAAAATATAAGTCTTGAAATAATTAAACATACCGTATTATCAACTTTTAACATTAATATTTACAGAAGCATTCGACACAAGAAAAAGTGTAAAACAGCTTTTATAATTACAGATACTTTAATATGAAGTTTGTTGCCAAAGGACACCGGTTTATATATATCATTCTTATCAATTTTGATACATTGGCCAAACAATTTACTTTATTTCACGCTGCAAACATGACATAGAATATTGGTCCACAAATTTAAGACGTTTTAACTCTTTGAAGAAGGGCTTTATATTTGTAATAAAAAGGCAGCTTGGTTTATTTCTATTACTTTTAATACGATCAAATGGATTAAATTCATGATAAATATAAATTTCATTACTTTACAATGATTTGCAGAACCCAAATTTTCTTTTATGGCTTGTTACAGTGCAATATTACATTTATACAAAATCTAATTTTTAAAATGTGTATGTTTTAGATAGTTCTTATTTTCTAATCGCATTAATAGGTCATACGCCTTAACACACTTTAGTTGAATATATTTTTGACATTGGGAGATATTATACAATAGAAAAAAATGTAAATGCTTTAAAAGCAAATAATAATTATCCATACCCACAGGTGCTTTCTAATCATTTAGGCTATTGTTCAAGCCAGGCGGCCCTTGAAAGCATTTTTAAACATTGATAAAAAATAGATCAATTTTTGAAACAAATACTGAAATTGATCCCTTCCACTGATTATACTTCGGTCCAAATTCATATCTCAATTACACGTTTACATTATCTTTTTTGGACAAGCAATACCTAGGCCAAATTTTTTACTTTTAATTGTTTTGTTCATTTGTAACATGTTTCTATTACTCTTTTGTCTTTTTCATCGGCTTATAATACAGTTTTACGTTGAAGAATGTATGTAATAAGCATGATTGATATATGTATGCAAAGTATTTAGCTTGACTTAATGTCTTAATTTCATGCCGTGGTTTTGGAATCTTCAGTTAATGCCATGTCCTGTTAAGCTGTGAAAAAGAAGTTACTGAATCTTATTAAAGTGCAGAATAGTTATAATCATCCGATGTAAATGAAATAAATCTTATATTTAAAAAATCCTTATTCTAATTTACATTCGATATAGAATTTAATGATATTATTTTGCCGATTGACGTACAAGTATATAAATATATTTTTCCTCTTTTGAAAAGGTCATAAAAAGATGTTTTCTTTCATTGAGGGGAATGATTCAGAATAGTGTACATTAAAAGTTTGTAAAATTCATTGATCAGAACCATCTTTAACGAAGCGAGAAGATGTAATTTAGAGCAAAACCTTATATCTTCGCCAAAAACATCCCCACTAACACTTGTGACATTTTCATTCAGAAATATTATAATTATGTATTCATCCGGGTAGAAAGATTTAAGTTTCTTTGCTATTTAAACATAAACTATCCCCGCATGTCGCTTTGTCACAGGGTATTGATACATGGTAACATACTATTTTGAGGTGTGTAAATGTATTAAAATTTGTTGACGACCACGAGAAAAAGAGAACGAGATGATATTCTTCGCTCAATGAGCCCCTAAAAGGGGTACAATATAAGATATTGCAGTAAAACTGACACAAAGATTCTTTAAATCAAATGGCCGGGAGATTTTAGGAGAGAAAACGAATGGTAGCACAAGACGACGGACGAAAGAGAATTCCCATATTTGTCATTTCTGAAAATCCGACTTCCAAACGGACAGGAATATAATAAACAAAATTTTGATTACTGATGTCATATTATGATTCATCATATTCAAAATGATGAAAAAGTGCATCAAAGAACATATATGTATATGTTCGTCGATGTTGAAAATTGTTGTCATTACTAGACATTGAGAAATTAGAAGTACGAGTTAGTCGAGGTCAGATTTATTTCTATTCTATTAAGATTTTTTTTTCAATTAAGATGTCTTGAAATAAATTGATCTCTGATCTGACAAGCTGGGAGCGAAATGGATAAATTCATAATAAAATTCAAACCTCCTGCTTGAATGTACCTATTAATTAGTTTGTATTGTATCAGAAAACGAGCTACCCCGCCAAGCATATTAATTGATACGTTCAAATGTTCAACAATAGTAACATGGTAATCTATTATTTGACCAGAAAGATTGTATCATTAGATGTTAATGTAACAAAGGAGAAACTTTAAACGAATATTTTGTCAATTATCACTGGAATCACAAGGAGACCCACTGAAAGCAAACCACAATTTGAAGAAATGTACAGACAAATCAAGAATGTTCCTCATTGTAAACATATCAAATCTACAATCATTCTCAAAGAATACAGAATTGCAGCTAATTGACAGCCCTTGTTAGTTGGTATTTGATTCAATGAATTCAACAATAGCCTTATCTGAGGTAAACTTCAGAAACATAAAATTAAAATTGCTGACAAGAATCTGTATTAAAACATTGACAATCTCGTAAACTAATTAAATGACATTTCGTAATATTAAAACATTTATATGGAGGAGGCACGGGGACAAAGAAAACCCACAGACCACAAAACAACGGAGACATGATTGTTTGAGACTCTTTGGCTAGGAATTCTAAACACGTGGTATATCATATCTCATGAGGGTATTTCAGAGAGGTACAATGTACCTTTTATATATTTAACAGTTAAGTAACTATAAAGAAATTATACATGGTATCATATTTATACCAGGACACGAGGTCACTGATGATAACACCGTTAAATAAACCTTTATCATTGAAGCTGGTAAACTAGCTGAGTTAAAGGATTCTGTCACATTTCTTATTGCTACTGGACAATAAAACTTGGCGACAAGTGTATTCTATTTGATACGGTTTATACTATATCATATTCTAGTTAAACAGTAATTATATGTTTTTATATGTTCTCTGAACATGCAAGTATCAGACAATTTACCGAAATTATGAAAGTTATACCAGATAGTACCGAATGAACTAAATAATAACTATAGACCATCCAAATCAACGTTAATGGTAAAGACAACCAAATCATAAGAAAACAATCAATTAGAATTTTTTTAAAATGCTTTTTCTTCATACAGTTTTGTACATAAAAATATATTTACCTGGCCAGCGGTGTCACAAAGTTGAAGTCGAATTGGCTTATCATTCACGGTCACCACAACTGAAAATAAGAATAAACAATAAAAACAAACATCAAAGCAATGATGATGTCATAGGTAAAAAATTCTACATGGCTCTCCAAACAAATAGAGACAGATATTGTCTTCCTAGGTCTTGATCTAGCCTAGGCTGATTCCTTCACGCGACTATGTATATAACATATATACATACGTTTTTCTTAATTCTAACTGACTTAAGGAACGCGAACAACAGACGAAATGAGGTAAATTTGGATTGTTTTCGCAAGATGCCGCGCAACAAAACGAAAATGAATTTGGTTTGTGTGTGTGTGTTTCTTTTAAATTATTTTTTGTCTTTATTTTTATTTTTTAAGGAACAAGAAAGTGATCGCAATCAATCTTTTCGCTTTACAGTTTTTGTCTACATGACTTTGTTTTATAAGTTACAGGTGTGCCGATGATGGTTGCTGAAACACTTGTCGTCATACGGTAACCTTTTAAAACCATTCCGATTTTACATACTGTAATGAAAGATTTATAAACGGTGTATAATTCACAAAGTGTTATTCAGTAAACAATATTGTGTAAATAAAAGGCTATGACAAATATGAATATATAAATATTGATCAATTTAACGATGTAACGATGTGATCATGCGATGTATGATAAAGAATGATGGATCTTGAGTCAAACCTTGACAAGAAGACGGCAACAATGATTGTTTATTGTCAGAAGAAACTTGATATATGAGAGTGTGAATCATTCCCAGTAGCTGTACTCGATTTCTATACCAGGCTATATTGTGCTTAATGCCCTGCCTGTTTTCATGTTAGTTTATGATTATACATAAAATGGTACAACTTACATTCGAATTTCATAAACATGTTCATCTTTATCTAGAACTGACCGTGTGTATGTTCTATTTTAAGGACAAATTACTTGTAGTTTTGCCATAGATAAATTGAATTATCTTGGATATCACGCGAACATAATCAAACTATAAATTTATTTCACTAGATTTATCTTAAGGGTTTTATCATACATTTCTAGAATTTATGATTACGGCATACTATATGTAAACAATGAATAACTAACAGATCACTGGTATTTTTTATATCTGTTTATACCTAATATTTTTTTTCCTTTCGCTGAACAAGAAAACTTTTCATCTAGTGGTTTGGTTTCAGTTAATTAATTTTACCGATGAGTAATAGTTGGCAAATCGTTATAAAAACGTCTGACAAGGTCTAGAACAAACATCATTTCACGTCTTCACACACATCCGCATATATACAAATATGACTCAACTAATATCATTTTTTAAACAAGCATGCTTGTTAAATTTTGCATAATGTTTAAATGGCGTAAAGCATGGGAACAAATGGATGAAAGGATCTCATTATGTTGTAAAGTACACACAATAATACATGTCCAGTAAAAAGGCAACAATTATGTCAAAAATGACAGTAACATTAGGTCAGAAGTGACTGCTAGTTCAAAACCTTTATGATCAGTTGAAGAATAATGTGTGGATATACTGATGTTTGTTATACTTTTATTTTATTACATTTTAAGACACATTTGTACTGTAAAGGTCATATGGCGACTTTCCAGCTTTACTAGCAGAGGAAGACCTCATGTGCCCCCTTCGAGCATTATTTCAGACAAGAGATATGAAATAATCCATAGTAAGTTCTTTGAAGTCAGCAACCACCCCTAGATGTAGCATGGAAGGGTATTGTGTAATTGAAGGATGGTCAGGCATATTTACTTATAATCAAATAGTTAACGGTTAATTAATAACCTTTTATTAACCTGTAGACAAACTACTTTATTTGAGAGGGCTAATGTCGGCTTTAGATAAGTATTAACGTAAATGACACCATTTAAACAATGTACAATGACACTACACAGTAGTGTGTTTTTTTGTACCGGATGACATTTAGATAGTTTAGGTTATTACAGTACAGTGACATCTGATATAAATATGATATAACACGCTAATAAAACACGGGCAGGTATAAGCTTTAATAATAAATGTAAAAATAAATAAAAGCTTTTCGGATAAAAATGACATCATGAATAAGCAGTGTATCATGTAATCCGAAACTACAGTCATAAATGTTATTGTGTCTTCCGATATCTTTTGCTTCGTTTTTGTTAATGTACTTGATTTATGTACAATTTATTGCATCGTTTAAAGAGTAATCCTTTGGAAACCATGAAACCGACTGACCATCGAACAGACTGACCAACACACTCTCCCTAAATCACACCTTGTCGGTGTACAAAACATATTTATCACTAGTATGGCATATTTCAAATTGAAATAATGCACGTGAAAAATGTAATTGTTCTGTAAGCTGCTGCACTGACGACAGTAACTTAGGCGTTCAGACAATGAGATCCGTTCAGACAAAATTTTCAGTTTTAAAAAAGCATGTCATTAATAGAAACTCTTGTTGTTTACAGAAAAAAAATATTTCTAAAAGCTAGCAGGAAAACATTTTAAATGTAAATACATGATTCATTAAATTGTCACGTCATTGGTATCTGTATTTATATCATATGAAAACGTAGACGACGTACGGGTATTATCAAAAACATGAGTCATTTAGATATTTATTTTTCCCCATAAGATAAGCATTAAATTATGCTGAATGATAAATACCTCGGAGTCATATTCAGTATTGAAAGTTTTTGTTGTCTTTATTGTAACTGATAGTTAATGTATAATAATTACAGTAAATATTAGCTTTTGACTTTTTTTCAAGTAAAAGCAAGAAATCTTTGGCTGACAGTTGTTTTACTGTACCATGTAATATATGGAGTAATTACTATATGTGTCCTGTATGCAATTAGTCATGCACTTAAAAGATTTTAGTTTATAATTATCAAACCCTGTAGGCAATTTAACGATTCGACAAAATGCACCTGATAAAATGATCTCATTTCAATGTCGTAAAGCTGAGTGCAGACCAGTATGTCATTTTACATGGATATTTCAATTGTATAAGTGGTTTATCAGTTTATATCAAAAGTGCTATCAGCTATATCACTTAGTTCATTCCCCTTGATATATATAAAACATTATCGACAACGGTGTCGGGGGACTACGGCAACGCAGGGAGTGACAATTTGGTCACATGTTGGCCAGGAGACCTTGAACTTAGTTTATCTTGAAACTGAATTTAACTAATGACGTCAATTTTCTCGTGCTAGGGTAAAGAACATGTGACTGTTATCTTAATAATGTGAATAAGTTAATTATAGCACGGAGATTAGGATATCGGTTTAAGACATTTAGACAAATAGAAACCTGTCAAAGATATAAAATACATATGAATCAATATACACAAAATAAATATGACCTAATAAAATAAACAATAACTCAAACAATCTTATATTCACTTCAACCTGAATCTCCACGAGAAAGATCCATCAATAAACAAATAAAGAATACAAGTACAGTTATCCCTAAATGTATTCCAATTCCCACAGTAAAGGTGTTTTGAGCATACAAGAACTTGTTTTATATCAAAGTCGGTAAACAAAACAATATCAAACCGTTTAGACGAATTACAGAGTGTATGACAGCTTATTAATTTACTTGTAAAGTTGTTTACAGTACGTAAAATCATATATTTATTTCATATAAGTATTTGATCAACATACGGGTTTTCAATTTGGACACTAAAACTGGAGTTTAACAGTAATCTCCGTTTTGCTTCCAATTTCTGTAAATGATAACTATTTCTTCACTTGTCTTTAACTGGTCAGATGTCTTGATGAACTGAGTAATACCGTTAATGAGAAAAAAATGTTTACTGTTACAGATTACCTATAACATAATTCACAAGACGTTACCATATATATATATATATATATATATATATATATATATATATATATATATATCGTCGGTTGGGAGTCAAAAGGTCGTAACTCCGAATTTTTTGGAAAATGACCTTTTGATTTATATAGTTTTGTAAAGTGATGCCCGATTTTATGTTAAATTGTTGTAACTCTAGGCCAATCAGTTTTTTCAGTACAGGCACATGACGAAATGTCGTATTACAATTGGTCTATTTTTTTCCCGGTCAAAACATCGTATCTCAAAATTTTCTGAAGAGCGCAAACATTTGGATGGAAAGGTATTCTTTTTATCATTACAATAAACTGTTGTTGGTACATTAGCTGTGTTAAGGTGCTTTGGTCATTAAATGTTCTTCGTATGTCATAGTTATGTGCATATAAATATGAATTAATTGCTACTGGCTTTGGGATGCTAATGTGAGTGGGATATTTTTCAATTTCTGAAATGCATTCATTTCACCACAGACATTTTGAAGGAATATTTCACAACACACCATACAAAGTCTTTAAATATGCTTGCTATTTACATTTGTATATTGACGTTTACCTATAAAAATGAAATTTAAAATCTAAACAGGAGATACAACATTTTGCACTGTTATTGTTTTTTTTGCTAAAATCGAGATACGACTTTTTGTCGCTATATAGATATTTGATGTATTATTTCTGAGACATTTTAAAAGACAAAATAATATCTATTGCACATTTATCTTTTCAGGGATGTCTTACTCCGGTGAAAGTGACACGGAATCAGTATCAGAGACGAATATTTAATTTTACAAGTGCCACGTTTGTCAGTACAAACTCGATTTCAATAGCTTATTATTTTTACTTCAGCAAATTGTTAATGTAGGACCATTTTTACTTACATTACCAGACGGTACGTTCTACGTTAGATGTCTCTTTGAAGAATGTTCAAGATACTATCATATACATTGCATTCACCCAACATTTCCTGACGAACACTTAAATCAGTCTCACTTTGAGGATTTGAGAGAAAACGGCATCCATTGCCCTAAGTGCGAGCCAGGTACAAGTGCAACAAACTTTTAAGATGGCGTTGTCTAGAGGTAAACTATTACTTCAGTTATCCTTACAGAAACAATCTTAAAGAAGTGAATTAGCTGACGATAATAACAATTTTAGTGACTACACAATAAATGATGCAGAATGCATAGATTCTTCCAAAGACTGTATTCAACTACCTGCTGATTTTGAAGTAGAAAATGTTGCTTATAAGAGTGAATTGAAAGCAGATAATAATGATATTGATGCAGAATGTAAGGATTCAGCTGAAAATTGTAGACAATTACCTGCTCAAGATGCAAACGTAGAAAATGTTGGCAAAGTGATTAATCAAGATTTAAGTGTTTTGAGTAGTTTTGAATATGCCGATTCTCAATTACAAGATGTTAGCGAGCTTATAGCCACTGAATTGGAGGAGGAGAAATTCTATGATTTTGATGATACGTTATATGACCCTGACTATGAGCTGCAAGGGGACTCGGGTGATTCGTCTTCTGATAACAGTGATGTCATAGATCACGAGGAAGTTGTTGAAACCAATGCAAATGTTGAAACCGATGTGATCCAGTGGTAACTGATCTGCGCGTATTGCATTGCAACCCAGATGGGACTGTACAATACAAGCTCTCATTCGACGGCCAATTAACAGATTTCCCCCGCAAGGCACGAAAAACTGACTACACCTACCGACACGATGAACCAGTGCAACTGCATGACGGTCCCCTGAAAATAAAGGCGTCAAAGTACGAACATCTTCAAGAGCTCAAAAGTGTGATACCTTGAGATTTTCATGGATTCTACGACAACCTTAGCCATTAACTGTGAAAGGATTTTTGAAGAGCGATTGCAGATTTATACATAATTATAGTATGTTTGCTCCATGTTCAGTACATTCATATCGTTGCAGCCTTAAGTTCTGGATTCCGGCCAGTTTTATTATTATAGTACATGTTTTATGTTTAGTTGTGAGTATGTTGTGCCATATCATAATGTTCTAAATAAAGATGATTTTTTATTTGCATGAAATCATTAATGCTGAAAATGAAAAACTTAATCTTGTATGACTCTAAGCCTGACAGTCGTTATAAGACGAAGTGTTTCTTTTACTGTTCTGTATTACAGTTCATATTGTGTTAAAATTGTGTTACTGTGTTCGGTTATTTGTTGATCAGTTTGAATAGAACTTTAATACTGAAATACGGATGACTCTAAGGCTGACAGTCTTTATAGCACGGAGTGTTTCTTTTACTGTATTGTAGTACAGTTCATATTGTGTTATAATTGTGTTACTGCATTAAAACAAAATGTTCGGTTATTTGTTGATCAGTTTGAATAAAACCTTGATACTATAATACGGATGGCTTTAATTTTGACCAATTAAAACTTAAAATGATATGTTTTTCTGGTACTACAACCGCATCAAGGTCACCCACTTGAAATCACTGCAGTTTCTCACGCCGACTGGGGGTCAAAGGTTTGAGCCTAGCTACCAACCATGGATCTTTCTTTGAGAACATTTATTACTGTGTGATGAAGGGATTCTAGAACTAGTACTTTCCAAGAAAGCTGGTTTGGAACCTACCCGCCTGTAGGACTGCAAGACTGTTAAGAACGGACATAAAACCTCAAAATTGGAATTTCACCTATATTTAATAGTTTTATTTAGTAAGGCATGAATAATTAATAACAAAACAGCAAGCATATTAATCAAAACATTCATTTATTACATGTAAGTATAAGTGTAAAATGTCGTAACTCGGTCTTAGAATTTGACAAAACATCGTATCTCATAGTTATGGCCCTTGAATAATACGGGTAGGCAAACATTATACGTTATTCATATGCGCATCTGGTGAATATTGTTTATGTTTAAACACAAGGCTAAATGTTTTACTTTAAGCTAACAAGTAGAAAAAAGTGGTCTCCTGTAAAATTTCTTGAAAAGAGTTACGACCTTTTGACTCCCAACCGACGATATATATATATATATATATATATATATATATATATATATATATATATATATATATATATATATATATATATATATATATATATATATATATATATATATATATATATATATAATTGTAACTTATAATAAATTGGTAAAATAATGTTTAATTTCGATTCTATGTAAAGCAGCATATGTAAATTGGTGCAATAAATAATTATAACAGGTAATAAATCATCGGCATAACAAATGTCATATTGATAAGTCATCTGAATAATTTATATTTTTTATCTCCCGGAATGTAAGACAATGAAGCCGTGTGGATTGGTGTCACTTTGCCGGTATTTAAGATATGTTCTTAAGTTACTTTAATAAGGTAAATTTCAGGTATTACATGCATAATACAAAAGACTACTTTCTGAAGGTGATGGGCGTAAGCGAAGAGCAATTTCCCCCATCAATTTTTATACTTTTCTTTTCCTTATCAGAAGATGAGTTTCATTTTTAAATCTTTGATTAAAAGGGTTTATATAAATATTTTAACGTGAGCTTGACATAAGTGAAATATGGTAACTTAACAACTTGAACTATTCACAATTGTATATACATAATTATAAATGTATCCCCATCATATATGATCAAGTCTGACGTGTTTTTCTGAAACCCGTCCTCTTTCTATTTGATCAAAATTGACAGATAACTGCTTTGATCAGCCAATGCAGTTTGATATTATTCCAAAACTATGGTTCTTTCTAAAAATAGCTAAACATGACATAAGTAAAACTGGTCTTCAGTTGATGAAAACATATTTGTTGTTGTTCTTTTCATCAATATTTTATAAACAAGATGGTATTTTTTTATATTATTTGTTTATTTACTTATTTACTTATTTATTTATTTATTTATTTATTTATTTTTTGTGTCAAGAATATAATAAAGTTTAATAATGTTATGTTTAATGTGACTTTAAGGTTATTCTACATCTAATACCTCAAAGGTTCGGCTAAATTGTCAAAAATGACACATCAACAGTGTTCGTTTATTTTTGTGATCTGACCTCAGAATGAACAGATAGCAGTCAACAGGTACGGTATTTCGGACAAATTAAAGAACTACATTCTTTCTATAATAATTATTGGTGTTTGTAGAAACCGAAAGTACAAATTGTTTTCTTGAGATCTGCTTATAATTTTATTTCACTGTTTTTGATGGTCAGACATGTATTTCCAAATATACTACTCGTATTGATATAATGTTACTCATAAATAAAAGATCACGTGTCCAGATGATATCGAATAAACGACAAGGTGTTCCGAATGAACAAGTTCGGGTCACGATGGTACTTAAACAGCTCAAATATTTTGACAAGCAATAAGTAAAACAGTTGTCAAAATTTTATGACAAAAAAATTCTATACCTTTACCGAAATGCCCGTAGTCTAATTTTTTTCATATATATGTACTGAAGTTCAAAATTGCACATCAATTTAAACTGACAGATATTTTGGTGATCTACTTGATGAAAACCGACATTGCCGGAGGGCAATAATGGCTCAACTTTTAAATATTGACCAACTTCAGCTATCTACACTTATAACATGTTGACCTGGTGAACGGTGATTTATAGTAGCTTTAAAAATAAATTCAAATATATGCCAATTACTATTCATTATAATATCTTAAACAAAGATATTATTTGAATAATTAAAACCTCTGTTATTGATACTGTATATGTTATAATGTGTAATAATTATATTATAGAAATCACGTTTGTGAGAAGTTACAAATACAATTTTCTGGTCCAAGTTTAGGAACCAGTTGTCTTAATAGTTGCGTTATCATTTCTAAAATCTTTTTATCTACAAAAGTATTTTGTTAACATGCATCTTTTTTGCCCTATTTAAAAAAACCATTCGGAGATTTATCAGTACCATAGCATGTCATGTGGACATTCACGATGACAATAACATGGGTCTAAAACATTCATTTTACACTCCTATTCTTATCGTGATGTGACCCTTGTAACGCCGACACTCTGATAAGGAAACAAAATGTTATCTTGTTATCTGATCTTCCAAATATCTTAAACAAATAACCATTTATTTATTACAAAAAGTAATACAACAGTCATCCATGTACTTGCTATTGGCAAATTACAGCATTTTTAGAATCCCAAAGATCTAAACTTTGTATGAAAAGTGGGTGGCTTTCATTTACGGTTGACCAAGTGTTAATAACCTAAAATAGTTGAGATTTTTAACCTGATATTTTAGGGAATGGTTTCAAGTGATTTAATATTTGTTTATGCGAACGATCCAAGGATTAAATGTTGTTCTATTGTTTAAAGAAGGAATCAAGAATACAAATTATATATGTAAAAAAAATAAATCAAATATTATTAAAGAAGTTAGTAATTAATTTAAATCTATATCAAAGTTGGTGCGCCTTTCCTACCAATATTTTATTACAACGTTAAGTTGAATCGACCCGCTGTATTTCTGTAAGCCAACCGTAAAGTGTCGTCGGCGGGTCGGGGTAAAAGTAATATAAACAACAACACAACAACAACACAAAAATATTCAAAATGTAATAACATGTATATATCAACTGCTTAAACTGTTAAAGGGCAAACATATTTCATTCTACATATAAAACTAATATATATAAATGGTATTAATTTGTCAACGCAGTCACAACCCCTACCCTCTCTATCTCCACCCCTATGATACATTTTTGTAGTTTGACGTATATGTTTTATATAAAATCTTACCAGTGTTTAGAGTAAAGTTATGTACTTGGCAAGTGTTTCATTACATGATATAATCTTATCTAAAATTTTCCGCGTTATGTCAATATAGACGACCTTAAGTTTGTACTTAAAAGACTTAACTTTATCAAAATTGTACTTACCGGAGTAATTGTCAAAAGCTGTCGGCATATATTCCGTCGGGTAATCGTTTATGGTATAACTGACGATTAAACTTGTTTTCCCAACAGCCCCGTCGCCGACGAGGACACATTTCACTTTAGTCGGTGCTTCTGCTGGTATCAAGGTATTGTTAAAATTATGGTCCACCATTGACTGAGGAGGCATTCTGAACCACTTTTTTTAAATCCAAATATAATTTTCTTGATATTAAAATGTTTATGAAATATTTTTCATTTTTAATTTACAACCCACTCTTTATAAAACCGATAAATTATTTTGTAGGTAGGAAATAAATCCAGTTCTTAAAACGATAGCATTAACTTAGTTCTTGAACACATACCTTTAATATATTCTTTCATCAATAAATGTATAACACAGTAAGTCGGCCAAGTATTGATAAAGTGGAGATAAAATTCTAGCCTTTCCATTGGTCGAGAAGGCACATGATATCACGTGACGCGATGACTCATTGTATGAGACAGGTATAGTTCATTCAGGTTTCGCCAGGTACTTGTCAATTTAAATCACAATGAGCCGTTATGGTTTGAAAAATTACATCTTCAAATCAAATAAAACCCAACATTGATAAAGTGTCTTTATGGTAAACCACAAAACAAATACAAGTTAAATATAAATCAACATTAAATTATATCAAAATAGTACATTACTAATGTGTAAAAAAATGAAAATATGGGACTATTATGTCATATGGTCGATATTCGTTTTATTTAGAATATTTTTGTTCATACATTTTAGTCTTTTATTCTCATGATTGTGTATATAAACACACACACACACATATATATATATATATATATATACATGTATATATATATAATATCGTTTTATTGTATTGTTATGTGTTTTATATATTTCTGTACAGGAAATTGTTGTTAATCATTATATGTTTCATTGTCGCACATCTGTCCATTGAGCATTTATGTTTTTCGGCCATGTATATACGCAATATATATATATGGTTATGTCAGAAATTTGTCTTTTAAAATATTGGAACAAACTCAAAACAAGCCTTAAGTTTGTCCAGGCCATTATAAATTGTACATATGTTAATATTATAAGGTATATTTCAACTGTTTCTCCGTTTTTATATTTTTTTATGAAAGTTTAGGGGCGTTAAACTATTTTCCCATGATTTAGGCCTACATGTATTGCTAAAAGAAATTAAACATGCAAAATACACCATTACACAAGGTCGCACGAATTGCCCCCCTTGTTGCCATTATTTCTTTTTGAAATAATGAATATCCTAACATTTCAAATCGACAATCTAAATAATGTCATAAAAAGTTAAACATACTACATGTACACACATTATCAGAATGGTTAAAACTTTTGCCAGGTATATAACAATTGTTTAATACGATAAAATATTTTATCACAATCCTTCAAAAACAATTTGACAGCTTTATGAATTACCCTGATTTTTCATGTCTCATTCAATTATTGATGTAATGTTTGATGTAAGCTTTTTAAGTGCGTTTATACAGTGATTTAACTATGAAAGGGTACACATAAATAAGTAAATATGATACATGCATTCAGGGTAAATATTACAATTATTTTAATGCATACATCACTAATCTATTGTAAGGATTTTTTCAACAATCCTGGTTTTTGTTTGTGTTAACAATTTAAGATAATCCCGTGCTTTTCGGCAATCAAATCAAAAGTTACATAAACAGTGTTTTTTTCCAACAATAAAGAAATAACATAATTGTTAAGAAAATAACTATTTCATCGTAACAACAACAACAACAACAACAACTGCATACAGACATTGTGGCAGTCGGCATATTTGAGATATTATTTTGATTGACATCACTCTCACCCTCTGTGAGAAATTGCTTAGTTTTGAGAAGTAAAGAATTTACACACCGACGCCTAATTGATCTAAAAGATTAAGATCAAATAATAATAACCCTAAAAAATAGTGTGACAAACATTGCTTTCAATTCAAACATGAAATTAAATTAAAAAAAATGTATAGTCATACAATTCGGATACTGTGTGGCGTAAAGTGACATATAATAAAACTACTTTTACATGTAAAAAAACAAATGAACTTGAACAAAGTAGAAAGATATTGTTAACGTTGCAATATATCATTATCCACCAATTAAACGGCAATTATCAATATTTCTAAGATGACATAACCGTCATGTGTACTAAGCATTTGTTGTTGTAGTTATCTCCCTTTTACCAGTGTGGATAATTTATGGATTACTAAAAGGCTTATCAAATACGAAGTTAAGTAAATTTTAGCAAAATTTTCAATACTTTGACTTTGAATATCCGTCTTTGTGAACATCATGCCATTTACTGCTAAATTTCTGCAAGTTATTTATTTAAACGATTCTGTACTCGAAGGAAGAAAAAGTAAAATCAAAAGAAGAACATAAGATAGAGAGAGATCACATTTACAAAAAATAAAAAATGATTTGACAAGTGACCACAACCCCCAGTCTAAAGACCAAGTTTATTCGATTACTATGTTAATAGAATCAAGGAAACTACAAAAGGAGTGCGCATGACTTCAAAACAGTGAATGATTCTGGAACAGTCTTAATTAGATTCTTCATGATTGTACATAAATTATTAAAAGATTCTTGATTCATGCATCTATGTGCAACTTATGGTTATGGGGAGAATAATTTGCCATTCATTTTTATACATGATTTTTTCTCCCTTTGTATATGTTAGTGTTTATAAAGTGAAATTTTAACAATCAAGAACCCAAAACGAAGTGACCCGTAGCGTGTGACCGTGGGTTCTTAATGTTTAAAACATCTCTGCAGAAAAGAAACTAAGTTAGCCTATCAAAATTACTTAGAAGATATACTAAACATTAACAACAACATCTCTCAAGAACATGAACAAACACAAACCAGACCAAACACCAAAAAGCTATATTCACTATTAAAACACTCAAAACAAGATTCTTTTGGCATTGACTCACTGAAAAAACACAATAAAATGTATACATCAGATCAAGACAAGGCAACAGTACTAAATGAACAATTTCAATCAGTTTTCACTTCTAAATCCCCTGTTTCTCTTAAATTCCTTGCTGATATGAAGGTACAGGATCAGGCAGATACAGGTAGAGAGGTTCCCCACACACCATTTAGCCCCCATAACCCCATGCGTGATATTGATATCTCTGTAAAAGGTGTTGAGAAGCTTTTAAAAAACCTCAACCCCCATAAGGCTGCAGGACCTGATCAAATTAGACCCATTGTGCTCAAAAATACCAGAAATCACTGCAGTCCAGCACTCTACCAGACATCTGGAAAATGGCAAATGTCGCCCCTGTCTTTAAAAAAGGTAGCAAGTCAGACCCAGCCAACTATCGCCCTATCTCTCTTACCTGTATCTTGTGTAAAACCCTGGAACACATTGTCTCCTCCAGTATAACAAAGCACTTTACTAGATCAAACTTGTTCTATGAATTGCAGCATGGTTTCCGAGAAAAAAGGTCATGTCAATCCCAATTATTAATGCTTATAGATGATATCCTACAGTCAGTAAATCAGAGAAGCCAAGTAGACTTAATCCTTCTTGACTTCTCTAAGGCCTTTGATATGGTCAACCATGAAAAACTTCTGTATAAGCTGCATTTCTACGGTATAAGGGGTCAAACTCTTAAATGGATCAAAGGTTTTCTTGATAACAGGTCACAGTCCGTGGTGGTAAATGGCTCCACATCCAGCTCCATACCAGTCTCCTCCGGTGTTCCCCAGGGCTCGGTCCTCGGACCTCTCTTATTTCTTATATACATCAATGACCTTCCTGAATATGTCCAATCCTCTAAAGTCCGCCTATTTGCTGATGACACAGCCATCTATCTATCTCTGACTGTCGCTTCTCATTCTAGCTTACTACAACATGACTTACACCAACTTGAACAATGGGAAACAAAATGGGACATGCAAATTAATCCATCAAAATGCCAGGTTATCCAAATCACAAAACGAAAAACAGTCATTCCAACAAAATACCTTCTACATAACACCACATTAGAAACAGTTCCATCTGCAAAATACCTTGGCATTACAATATCAAATGATTTAACATGGAACAAACACATAAACAACATCACAACAAAGGCGAATCAAACACTTGGTTTTCTACCCCGAAACATCAAGGTTCACTCAGAAAGGTTAAAGTCAACCGCATACAAGACACTTGTCAGACCCCAGCTTGAGTACAGCTCCACGGTCTGGTCCCCCTACACAGGAACTCTCATTGACCAGATAGAGTCAGTCCAGAGAAGGGCTGCTAGGTGGGTCAAACATGACTTTGGCCGTATGTCAAGTGTCACTGACATGTTGACTTCCCTTCAATGGAGGCGCCTTGACCTTTGGCGTATTGACCAACGCCTGGTCATGTTTCACAACATCCTGCATGACCAGGTGGCTATTCCTTTCCCAAAGTATATCGTCCCTCTTACAAGATCATCTAGAACATCCCATCTCCATGCATTCCAACAAGTCCAAACTAAAACTGATTACTATAAATATTCATTTTTCCCAAGAACAATTGTCCACTGGAATGCTTTACCACCTGAAATCATAAACTTGTCTGGCCCCGAGTTCAGTCTGGCTGTAAGCCGGATTGAACATACGTCTCCCTAAAATACCTTTTCTGTTTTTAATCTGTTTTTAACAATATACTCATTTCCTTTACTTTTATATTCTTTTATTTCAGCTCTTTTACTAACATTCTTGTCAGTTGACGCGCGTCAAGTCTAGGTCCCCAGCAGGGGTTTGACTATATGGAAGATAGATAGATAGATTGTTAAGATGTTTACTTAATAACAACTAACTTACTTAGTGTTTAACCTCATCTGGCCAAGCTGGAAGGCCTCAAGCCTTTAGAAAGTTGTTGACAATACAAAAGGCGGAGTTAAGGGAGCACAGTTTCACCGATCAGTTACATTATTCAATTTATGTTTAAATCATAATCGTCCTCCGTTTGTGATGTATGTATATGCTTGTTCAAAATAACCAAAATGTTTGTGTTTGCCTGTATTTTCACCGTGCAATTATTCACAAAACGACACCGACATTAAAAGCGGTAGTTGATTGAATTTATGAAGAATCTTTGACCAGATATGATAGATATCATTTTTATTTACTATATGCATGTAGAATTGGAGATAATCCAAATTAACAAGTTTATATTAACATACATATTAGCTACAAATCAATTAAGTTAATTATTAATTAGTAAACCTATGTATTAAGATGAATAGAATTAGAATAAAAAAAAAATTCTACTTACTTTTCAAACAGTTAGATGTATGTACTGCATCTGCATTATTGTATAGATATTAAGATAGTGTGAACTGTGGTCTTTGCCACTTGAAAATAGGGT